CAAATGGGAGCTTCGCGATTACCTGCATCATTTGATCAGGCTGTGTGCCACCTGGGTAACGGATCATTCGGAATGCATGCTCAGCAACCTCGGAGCTAATCTCAGCCAAGAGACTCTTGTAGGTGTGAATAGGATTGGCACGAAAGCGATCAAAGTCATGTCGAGGGACAAGTCGTGCGTCCACCTCCAAGACGAGTTCGCAAATGGCAGCAGTTGTAAGGCGAACATCCGGATCAGGCAATTTGAAGGAAGCACTGCCCTGGATGACCAGCATATTGATGATTCTTTTGTAAGACAATTTGGCTTGTGGGTCGTCAACGGCAAGCTCAAACGGTCCCTCCATTTTCTCTGCAATGTGCTTCAGCATCAAACGGTCACCTGCGGGCAAGACTGCAACAAGATCTCCTTGCACATTGGCCTTAATGACATCATTGAGGTTGCTCTTTGTAGTGAAGACCACGCCCCCTCGTGTTGGTGTCAACTGCAGTCGGTGCGTCTGGGGCAATGGCTTCCCGTCAGATCCAATGAATGGTAGCGGAGGTCGAATCTGCAGATCTTCCCATTTGGCCTGCTGCGGCCGTGGAGGTTTCGGCTTCCATGGGTCCCAGGTGGACCAAGGATCGGCAGAGTCTTTGGCTGGTGCAGCTGCTGCAGCACTCTTAGCACCGCCGATTGGGGCAGAGGTCTTAGCCTTCTTGCTGGGGTCTTCAATCATTGTGACATCATCATCCTGGGCACCGGCAGCAATGAACTCACTTGGAAACCGATTCTCAATGACTCGCAGCAAAAACCAATCACGTGTAGCTGCAGCAAAATGTCGCAATGTGGGATTGGCTGGACTCGCATCCCAAACAACTTGCGCCTCATCTTGCACGAGAGCGATTGACTGAGCCCATTGCGATGTGGCTAATCTCTGTCGCTGGACCTCGCTCAGGGATACTTGTCCAGCGTCAACTCGATTGAACAATTGCTGTAGGATATGATATCCACACATATTCTGAGGAGAGACCTGGTCCAAGAAAACAAAGCGCAATCGGGTGCGGTCTGTCTCAGTCACATGCACAAGGTGGTCAAACAAAGCTCGCAGCTGCTCACGCAAATTGGTTGGGACCGTGGCACTGAAATGCACATCTCCACCAGAGAGGAAGTACTCAACCATGATCCAGTGATTTTGGACAACGATGGGCCAGATGATGTGCCCAAACGTAGCATACTCTGGAGTGAGGTCATTGATGAAGCTCAGCTGCCCTTGCTGAATAGACCACACAGCTGGTGCGCAGAATAAAGTAGACAGCGACAACAGACGCGGGCCTTCCAGTGTATAGTCCATCTCGTCAGTTCCAAGCCATCCACTAAACTCACGGAAATGATCCAAGCGCTGCTGCACTCGGTCAAGGCGATCCTGCTCAGGTGTGACAGGGGCCAATGTAGGCGTAAGCACTGTGATGGCCGAGCTACTGCTTGGATGACATACCTGGAGCATTGGTTGTTGAGGTGGCCGGCCTTGAGCATGGTTCACAGCAAGCGTAGTGAGGAAGTTCTGCCGAAGTCGGTGGGCAAAGAGCTCAACCTCTCTAGTAATACCAGCAGTTCGCCAGTCTTCAATGGAGCACTGTAACGCAACACAGACAGCATCAAACAAGTGCTGAGGCAAATGGAATTGCGCAGCAACATCATCAAGCTGATTGTGGTGTCCTCCTCGCGAAAACCAACGCATGAGCAGATTCCAGCCACACAAATGCGGCTGATAGTGCTCCGGAGTAGCATGCATTGTAATGCGATCAGGTGTGATGTCCATCAATCTCGCCAAAATAGCAAGAATTGGCTGATGAAAGTCAGAATGAATCTGCACCAAAGTCACAGTGGTCACTTCTCCTTGTTTGGTGATTTCTGCAGCACCCCAATGCGAGCGTACAAGGATCGGCAGCAAAGTAACAGCATTGTTGTAGATGATCGGGTCACCAAAGTATGCATCATCAAAGTGGTCCTTGGAGATGTCCCACATGACCGGTGGTGAGGCTCGAATGCCCGCTCCCATCCACATGAGAGTTTGCGTATGGGCATAGATTTCATCCGAAGCTGCCCATCCATGCGTATTGGTCATGAACTCGATTCTGGCTTCAAAGTCAGATCCCTGACGAAGGATGGGCGGAGGTCCAATGAATTGATGATGCCCACCGGCAACCACAACCTGCTTTGGGACACAACACAAGAAATCACCTCGGGCAAGCATGGTGCAGTGTTGAACATGCTGCCCGTTGACCTGCTGAATAGCCAATGGAATACCATCGAACTCAATTGCTCCAGAGCTGTTGATGTGCGAAGAGATCTCAAGGATCTTGACCGTTCCAAAGAAATTGTCCTTGCAGAAGGTCATAAGAGTTGTATATCCTGCTGGAGTGGATGGGTTCAGGATTGCAACGACGACACCTTTGCTCTGAGGAAGTGTGCTTGTGCGGCCTTGGAAAGCATTCTGAATCTGTTGTACACACCGCTGCTGATCTTGGGCAGTGCAATGAATGGCGATTGCAATTTGAGCAGATTGTTCAACCACAATAACTTCACATGCACGTGCAACCGCATCATCTTGCAGTGTTTCGATGATGGGCTGTACAACACGAAAGAGGTTGCTGCCAACAAACTGCTCCCACGAAGGATCATGGTTATCACCTTCAATGGCTTTGGCGTCCAGCTCATAAGGCAAAGTTGGTGAGATGTCGATGACCTCAGTACTCACACGAGGGGGTGTGTCGAACGTGAGGTGACATTGGCCGACGGCACAGTAATGTGCATAAATCTGCCAGTCTGACTCGGCATGAGCAAGGACTTCAATGGATTGGCCACTATGGCTCTTGACATCATGATTTACAAGCTGGAACTGCGAGACCAGGTCATGTGGGCCTTGGAATATGGCACGAAAGATGTCAGACCCTCGAGTGGCGAGGGGAAGCCGTTGCTCAAATGTGACATCACCAACCTTTCCACAACACTTCACGTGGCTAAAGGGACATGCTTGCTCCGGCACCGGACACAACCAAGGGCGAAGGCTGTCCTTGGGGACAATGTGCACGTAGTCACCTTGCTGAAAGGTAACAGAGTTCCATGCCGTGATTCGATCAGCCCATGCCTGGCGCAAGAGCTTCAACGGGTCGATGGGATCCCCTGTGAGAGAAAGGAATCCAATGGTTAGGGCAAGCACACTCTGTGGGACCGTGATCGCGTTCCCCACAACTTGGAAAGTGGCTTGAAGCTTCGTGGGGAGGACCTGATGTTCCACCGCCCCAAACATGGAAACGAACATCCCCGGAGGAAAGAAACGAAATCCATCGGAAGTGTGCTGGAGGACGGCAAATATGCCTTTGTTCTGCAAATGACCCTCACTTAGAAGGTGCTGGCGCGAATACGAAGCACACAGAGTCGGCATGGGGTCGGAGGAATCCAGAACTCTGGACCAGAGACCTTTGTTCTCATGTGGAGGCCCTGGGTTGGCGACCTTGGCTCGTTTCGCTTGTGGGAGAAGGTCCTCCCGGTTGTAAAACTCACATTCGGATGGGCTCAGGCGAAGCTGGTCAGACCAAATTTGGGGAACCCTGAGTTCATGGCCCTGGTGGTCCCAAGGAAGGCGTGGGACAATAGTCGGTTTGAGGGTGAAAGCGAAAGCTTGACATCGGTGATCTGCACGAATCCACACACCAAGCCAGCGTGTTCGGTAGTGGCCTACGACAGCATGGTACGGGGTGGCTTGAGTCCACACTAGCTTGAAACCAAGGCTTTGAGCCAAGGCTTTCAGAAGTGGCCAATGTGGGTGATTCACCAGCTCATCGGCGCACTCAGCCGCTATAAAATTTGGCTGACAGGCTGCAGCTGTACACAAGGCATGGACAAAGGAGTACCCATTGACATCGTAGAGCCCAGTACTCTTGCCACCTCGGCTCCAGCTCTGACATGGTGGGCTCATCGTCAATACCAAATTCAATTGGGCCCTCAACACATTCAGAAGGGTGTAGTCCTCAACACCCCCACAAATACCCACACACTCCGAGGGAGTCCAGGCAGTCCGAAATGAGATCGGAGCTCGCAAGACTTGTGCGCCATGCTTCACCGACCACAATTGCATCACGGTGTCATCGTGGTCCACTGCAAGCTCCTGGCCTTTGAGGACGAAAGGCTGTGTCTTGCTGAGCCAATTGAGCGCTTGGCCCCACCCTGCAAACGATCCGGCATAAAAATGCAAGGCCGACCATGGCATCTCCAGAAGAAGCTCCGGGCGGAAGGAAATCGCGGCATTCTCAAACCATGCCTCCTTCATGTCTTTGAGGCGGCGCAAATTTCCTGCGCAGACAATCTGAACCCCTTTGACAAGGTGAATGGAGCGAGCTGCAATATCCTGGACATGCAATCGCACCAAGCCGTCATCATCACCATTCGACACGAAGCCCTCACCAGGCACAAATCGATACATGGCAGCGTCAATCCAGTGTTGTCCAATCTCAAGAACATCACCGGTGCAGCAATGAAAGTCACCAAAGCAAGGAAACATCGTCGGTGACTGCAGCCCAGCAAACAGGGATCGCATCCGGGATTTCAATGGGTCCTCCAGAATCTGATCAACAAGGCCCATCACATGTTCCAAAGCCATGGCAGCACCTACCCAAAACGAGCCACACCTACACAAAAGTGTCACAGGTCCAAAGGCTGGTCGTCAGGAGAGACGACCTTGTCGACACCACCCCCACCTTGGGAGGTGGCCAGTGGCCCTTGGGAGCCGTATCCCTAAGCCTACCGGTTTTGGGCCGTGCCGGCTATTATTAGTACTACATACATATGATATTACTATAACTGCTACAACAACTGTTACTGTTGCTACTGCTACTTCTACTTTCTATATAGTGTTGGGACCTTCACCCTAAGAGTGGTGAATCATACGGCGTCTTGGTTTCTTGTTATAGGCATAGGCATTGGACAAAACCAACCAACAACAGTTTGATCAGGCTAGGGGCATAGTCTGTGATGTCCGACTCACTTGAAGCTCTTGTGATAGTGATGGTTCCAGTCACCTCAGGGCAACTGACACGCGTGAATCAACAACATGGTGTACAGCATTGTCCCATGACAACTGGGATTTGCTGAAGGAACCCACATATTTGCTCTTAACTCTAAGCCAAACAAGGACAACCATGTGTTTGGACATGTTTAGACTGTCTCTCTGGACATGTTTAGACCATGTTTGACCGTGTGCCACGTTTGTTTGGCAGTCGGATCGCTAAGGTCTACCGTGACCACCAATGAGAAGTTCTAGTGCTTCGAAGACAAACACCTTTCCGATTAATCCCATACTATAATTCAACAGAAACGTTCACAAAGCACAATGATCTATCAACCTATATAATAGGATTCCAAAGGGCATCCCAGAACAGTACAGAACCACTGGCTGGCGGCACCGCACACAGGTGTGACTATCTCAATAAAGGCTTCACCTTCCAAAGCACCTGAGAAGGCTACAAACTAGTGCAAGACCTGGCCAAGCAGTTGTAAATTATCCTCAGATCCATTCAGATCCTCCATATTTCCAGTTCAAGACTACCTCAGGTCCTTCTCCCGATCAAATCACCCACCACCAGCCCGGCATCGTCGTCGCCCCGGCACGGAACCGGTCGCCTCCCCGTGCTTCTCGTCGGTGTCCGTGAAGGCGACCGCCGAGGGGCCCTCCACCGGCAAGTGCCGATCGGTGAAGGCCAGGCTCGAGGCCGTCGCAGCTTCGCCAAAGGAGTTGGAGCCTCACGACCGGTCGACCGAGGTCGACTCGTCGAGCTCTTGGGGAGTTAGAGCATCGGTGGGTGACCTGAAAAGGGGCCGCCAGGCCCGTAGAGTAGTGCCTGGATCGCAAGCTTGGTCAGACTTGGTCACCAGCAAATACGTGGGCATCAATCGGGCATCAAGTGGGAAGACAAGGCAGCTGCCATGGCAGGAGCCACGCATCCAGTCATGGAGAAGGAGAAGAACCCCTAGAGCCTTATAGCTTTAAATTAGCTATCTGGGGAATAAGATCATTGGGGAGGGTCGAACAAATCCTGCGATCGCCGACAGATCCAGACCTGAAGACTGGTCCGGTTCTCTCTTTTACGACTTCCAAATGTCAGTATAACTCTGAAGAACAAACATTTAGGGGGAACAACTTAAAGAGTTGAGTGCACTTCCTGAAATCCTCATGGAAGTGGACTTTGCCACCTGCGTGGGTTACTTCGGATGTATTCGGAAGATGATCAGCCTTTCAGGGCCATCCACGTAACTTGTAACCATGCATTGTTTGAGGGAGGATAAACTAATCCCATCCTATCCCAGCGGATCCAGTTACCACTACAGTAGTAGGTAACCACCTAGTGGCTGCCTGGTTCCTTAAACTGATTTAAATAGTGTCTGCCTGGGATCCACTGGGTATATGAAACCCACCCATGATGACAAGCTCTGAGCACCCAAGGCGCTATAGACGAGGAAGTGGGTCGCACTCGAGGGTACGAGGGTGTTCGCTGGAACGGTGTAGCTGGGTGGTAAGCCGTTGGCGGTCAGTTGGATAAAAGGCAAGAGCTTCACAGTAGCTGAAGAACCCCAGTAGACATTGTAGTTGTCGATATTTGCCTCTGAAGTCGCCTTCACGAATTGAAACACCCCCTCGATCTCTCCTAAATCCAGGTCTGTATCATAGAAGGAAACCAGTCCAGGTAGTTCCGTCGGAACTTGCGCCGCTCCCAAAAGAAGCGTGCTCCAAATGATCCAACTGACGTGGAGGCTCGGATGACTGCGATGGAAGATGGCCGGAAACAGATCCTTTTTCATGTGATCCGGGCAAAGCAGGAAAGGGATTGGGACATGACATGGCTGAATACTTGAGCCGTCTCATTGCAAGAGAAACCACCCCTTCTCATTCCGAATGAAGAAAGCTCGCATAATCCATGTGAACGAACCAAGGTCGCGACAGGTCGTCGACGCACGCGACGACGAAACCGTGTCTGAAAACGTGGAAACCGTGACTCTGAGAGACGCGGCCCGAGAAGCCGTCTGAAGTCTGAGGGACGGAAACCTATACAGAAATGCCTTTGTTACTAGTAGCTTCTTTTTCTTGTTACTACTAGTAAGGCACCTGTTACTACTAGCGTGGCACTTGTTCCTAGGAAGAACATGGGCTTTTTCAAGACAGCCTTCCTGAGAAGAGACTAAAACCATCTTAATGACAACTGTTCTCTGGGAGCAAGCTCCGAACTCTCCAGTCCTCGGGTTTGTCGTCTCCTCGGACAAAAAGGAAAAGAACAACAACACCAGTGGCCAAGGAGGCGGAGCTTCGACGGAAATTCAACCAGACTCGCGTCGAAGAGCGAACACACTGCCGGGGAGGGTGAAATGGTGCTGTGACGTTGATCGGACGGTACTAAGACCCGCGATAGGAACAGATTCTTTCATGCGCTTCTCTGGCATTGCCGTAGAACATTGCTCCAAGGCTCTAAGTGTTGGCTTCGACTCAGTCAAACATGTCAAATTAGTAAAACAGTCAAACAGTATCACACAGTTAGTCAAACGCTGTCAGCATAAAGACTTCTAGAAGAGTACATTGCAAAGGTGGTTCTTTCAAACACTTAGTGAGTGGACCAAGGATGACTCTCAAGACAAACCATCTCCACCATCTCTTTGTGCTAGTGAAAGTGGGAGCAACAGTTCAAAAGAAGCCAGTGAAGGTGTTGTGTTTTCACTGATTTGCTCTCCGCAAGCTCAGTACTTTGTACTGAACACTCTGTACTTTGCAGAGTGGGGACAAGACGTCAAACATCACATCCACGTCCGATCGTCTCTCGACCCGCCCGCGATGGACATGGTCCCTGGTGGTGTCAGGTGTTGGCCCTCACGGAATCCGGGCTCGTCGGACTTTTAAAGTCAGAGCGACCTCGTCCGGCACTTGCAAGGCGAGTGGTCCGGGATGGACGAAAGGGACGACGAACTGAAGTGTTCGTTCATGGAGTAATCGGTGGCCAAGTTGTGGGGTTGGTTTTGTGGAAAAAGAGGTCCACGCCGAGTTGCAGCTCCTTTCAACATCAATGGAAACTACTCTGAAGCGAACACCCTCCGATGAAACATCTGGATGCCACTCAAAAAAACCTAATTATACTGTATACTTCACACAAACACACCAGAAAGGGTTCTAGGGTTTTGACCCACTGCCTTTTACTTCCTGATAGGTCCCGGCCGTGGTGAATGCACAGCTTCCAACAACTGCATGGTGCGTTGACTCACATCAAGCGATGGTGGATACCTTTGCACATCTTTGTTCGATAGCTGCCCTTGACTTTTAACCCAGTCAGGTTCACACGATACCCTGAACTTTCAAAAACCCTAACCGACGATCTAAAAGAATAAAGTGATTTCGGATGGTTTCGGAGTAAGAAATCCAGAACTACTCCAACTAAAAACGATCTACACCACAGTAAGTGATTGAGCTAGGCAACTGTGCCATCTACTCACCAGGTCAACTTAGTGAGATATGTCAAAGATTCGCATGCCTGCAGCCGTTGTTCCTCGTCAGCAAAGCCCAAGTAGAGTGGCTCCCTGTGAAGCATGAGTCGAATCGGGTGTACCTCGAGATTCTCCATTATGTTTAGCCTATTTATTTTACGGACAACCCAAGAACCCAAAGGATGAACAAACTTCCAATACATAGCAACATGTTTCAACGGGAACTCAAAATACCTCCAGAGTCCCCTACCATAAACATCAAGAATTGCACATAGAGTGCAAAGTCACCTTCTTTAGCTGGTCAAGAAATGCGCGGACGGCGGAGGGTCTAAAAAAGTATGCATACCAGGATCCTTTAGGCCTAATGGGTACCAGTATGTCTTGACCATGCAATTGCTTCACACCCGCATCTAATATCCTAGGTAGCTTGGAATACGTTTGACAAACATGGACAGTTGTCGAAGCGGGTGGAATCTGGGTATTGAAAGGATTGTTAAACACTGCAACCAAACACAACAGTCAGTCAGTCAGTCAGTCAATTGTCTTTTTGCTTGTACTTTGGACAACCCATGCAACTTGCTGGACACTTTAAGAAGAAACATGACCGTCAGTGTGAAGTCCTAGCCCGGAGGGACCTTTTTTTGCAGCCGATGTTGGACGTGCCTGCACAAGGCATCGCTGAAGCGCAGGACGAGGACGTTGGGCTTCCCCCCCGAAGCTGAGATCCACCACCTTCATTCGGCTGTCAGAAGCCCCAAGAGCCCAAGGACTCACCTGTCCGTCCGCCTAAGGGGAGGTAGGTTAGTGACTGGAGGGGTTAGGACGGACCAATACGGTCAAAAGGGATGCCTTTCGGACTCCCAGGTCCAGTACGGTCAAATGGGAAGGTCTTGCGCCGTCCGACCCCCTTCGGACCCTCCAAACGGCAGAGGGCATGAGAGGACACGAGGATGGGGTTGCACGAGGAACCAATACCATGCCCTTCTCGGTCCGTCTTGGGTGTTGGTTTTGAGGTCCTCGCTTGTGGGAGCCGAAACTATAGTAGTAAGAATGCTCCTATAGTAGCAATGCTAGGAGCTACTAGTGGCCATGCCCTTGTTCCTAGTAGCATTTTTTGATATTTTGTTTTGGAGACTCCAGAGGCAGTGGACGCCTGATCCACTTTAGGGGTGCACACGGTGCGCCTGCTTGGTGGCGGCTCCGCACTGCTGTGTGAGGGTCACTGGAAGCGTCCGATTCGTCAGCGATCCATCTTTATGCATGCGACTAGGCCGGTGTCATCGCGTCGTCGAGTCAACCATATACTGACAAAGCACGAGTCAACCGTTCGAAGGTTCCGAGTCGTTCCGAGCCACGAAAACAACGTCCGTTGCAGTCCATGTGTGGTGTTGTCGTTGTTGGCGTGTGGGAAAGAGAGCCGCCAACTGGGCAAACCGGTGCGTCTTTGGTACAGCAACCTATATATGCGAAAGCTGTTCCGCCGGGCCCTACTTGGTGTTCGGGAGGTTGTTTGCATCACACTGACACTGACAAATTGGAGAATTCAGAACGAATTGTCCAGGCTACAGGATTGTCTGTGCTACAGAATGGAATTATAAGTTTCAGAACGAAGAGTTCTGCCGCCGGCACAGCGCCGCTACACTTTGCCAGATTGCAAACCACCACTTGAATCCACTTGACCACATGAGGTATCAGCAAGTCGCCCTTCTATCACTTGACAAATCATCACACCCTTCCATGACACAAACGTGTTTGACACGTCCAACTACCCTCGGTCTGCTGACCCCGCTGGCTCCACTTGGTGAATCATCGCTCCACTACCCCGTGGGCGCCATGGTATACCTGCTTGGAACTCGGTGGCCATCCGTTGCCTCTGGTTACAAGTGGATCACAACTTCAACCACCCCATGTCCCATGTGGCTTAAGCCTACAACTTGCCGTGCCTTTCGATCTTGAAGCCAAATTGGGTGCGTATTTCAATAGGGAGACCTCCAAGCGCAAACCAATGAGTGCGGTAACTGTGGCCCTTTCTTCCAGTGGCGTCTTTCAAAGGTCTCCCTAAGCCCAAGTTCACCTCTAATCTAAGTTGATGATGTTTCGCTTTGACAATGCAATTCTACTTACCACTTAGCTTGGAAGGGTCCTGGCACTTTCCCGTGCTCGAAATCTGAGGGTCAATCCCGCCCCAACTGCTCGAGAAAGAAACAGGCGCTGGGGCTGGGGTGTTCGCAAATTTGTAGACTTGCTTCTTTTGACTGATGTGTTTCCGATTTCTTCTTCCCTCAACATTTTGACAAGCCAGTCTAGGTATACCTTCTGAGCAGGTATTTGGAGCCTGCGGTTTGGAGAAGATCTCGTCTTCTCCACCTCACCAGCAAAACAGCGCATGTTTTTGAGACGAACACAGGCTTTGTCGGAATCACAGGAGAATCGTGTGCTGCAGACGGCTGGAATTGCTTGGCAAGTTCGGCCGCCAGGGCTATGTGTATCCCAGGAGAGTAGAGGACAAAGAGTCGGAAGAGTTCCAACATGGGGGTCATGGCACCCAAAGACCTTGCTTGACGATTCCCTCATGGTCCTTCCCTTTTCTACGGCCTCATGCCATTGTAACGTAGCGTAGCTACCCTCGCTGAATCTACAAACAAAATGCGATCCAATGCGGCCAACATCGTGTGGTTTTGCGTCGCCATTGATCCACAGCCACAGTGGCCACAGCCTTTACATCTTTTCCAGATTTGTTCCATCTTCGTCCTCTGACTCAGGATGATCGCACCCCTTCGACCGATGAACAACTCCGAATTTGCTGGTCACACGATTGGAAGGAGTGCCCAGGGCACCCAGTGCATCAAGGACAACTAGGGCAAGCTTCATACATCTTCATACTTCATCATTTTCACTGGGTGCCTCTGGTGTACAATAACCATAACTAACTTCTGGCTGGATCACCAGGAACTTCTCTACACCACGCTGCAAGCTCTTGAACGAAGCAATGCTGGGCCATGCTGCTTTCTTGGTCACGAAGACAGCAACAGGACGCTTGATGCAAAGACCCCGAGACCATCACGAAGAGTTTTGAGGTTTTCTGGTCTCCCCCAAGAACTCCACCTGCCTCCCTCCGTTTTTTCTGGCGGTTACAGTATCATTCCACGTTTCCTGGGTATACGTGTCACCAACGCTGGGATCGACCTCAACACGTCAGACACCTGTGTTCGTTTCCAAATTGTCACAGTAATTCGAGGGTGTATATCTCACAGATTCTCACAGGTCAACTTGGTGAAGCTTACTAAACCAGCCCTAGTTAACTGCGGTGAGGATCACATCCCTTGGGACCCTGGTATGATATCACACGCCCTAGAATCTAGAATACCACGCTGGGGTGTGAACACATGTTAAAACTTCACATGGCCACATGGGAGTATTACTGAGAGACTATGGGAGTCATGATTTCACTAATGGATTTCAGTGGTCTCCGGTGAATCTCTCAAACCTCAAGCAGCTTTGTCACGCGCTGCCGTGACTGTCTTCGGACTCACTGCTACTGTCGCTGGATCTGCCATAAGCCTTCGGAGGGCTATGGGCAGAGCTCGCGGTTCCACGAAGGCGCCATGC